TCTAAATTTTAACTCTACAAACTTAACACAGACTACAGTGCCTAAGGTTAACCAGCCAGAGGATGAATTAAAATTAACGAGTCTAAATTTTAACTCTACAAACTTAACACAGACTACAGTGCCTAAGGTTAACCAGCCAGAGGATGAATTAAAATTAACGAGTCTAAATTTTAACTCTAAAACCTAACCCAGACTACAGCGCCTAAGGTTAACCAGTCAGAGGATTAATTAAAATTAATGAGTCTAAATTTTAACTCTAAAACCTAACCCAGATTACAGTGCCTAAGGTTAACCAGTCAGAGGATTAATTAAAATTAATGAGTCTAAATTTTAACTCTAAAACCTAACCCAGATTACAGTGCCTAAGGTTAACCAGTCAGAGGATTAATTAAAATTAACTTGAGTCTAAATTTCAACACGTTCTTGAAGTCTCCAAGCTTAAATAGACCTTCCTTCTGCAGACTTGGAGTCACTTGGTGGGGGATGGAGGACCAGGACAGTGTTGGCCAAAGCATTTAAATCCCGCCGCCTTCGGCGACGGGATTTCAAATTTCTTTTGTCCTAACCCTAACCTTATCTCTATAAACCATGATGACAGCTTCCAAGTTGCGATCTTAGAGCCTTGTCGCGGAGTTCAAACTGGTTACCCTTATGCGTAATTACGCACGTAACTCAGACCAGATTTAGGGTTCTAAAACCTATGGTATGAACACACTGGATTTACAAAGGATCCCTTTTTCACTCATTCATCCACAGATGTGAGTATTATGCATGCAATTAGTCGCTTTCTCAAGCGAAACACGGTTGCTGCTTCTTAGAGTCTGACGGCGCAGCACTCTCTAGCAGGAACCGAACCTCCTGTCCGCGCGGCGGCTGGACAGAACCACAGAACCGAACCTCAGCGGGTCCAGAACGCACATTTGCCAGGATAACAGATTTTAACAGAACCAAAGTCTGCAGTACTTGGAACTGTATTCTGAACACACAAGCAAAGCCGTATTTCTTAAAAACCCTTCATGCCGATGTGGGAAAAATTAGTAATTTTTTTTTTCTCAAATTCACGAACAGAACTAATATCTCATCACTCCAAGATTAGCATAATGCCCGCATTCTCCACCATTATATATGTAAGAGATCACCCTATGAAATTAGGACCAGCCCAATCTCACAAAATAATCCCTCAAGATCTTGCATTATGAAATCCCAGACAGTAATGAAATAACCCCTGATCATGAATGAGAAATGAAAACGTGACCTGAACGTATTTCCAAAATAAAGTAATTTATTTTAGATATATGAACAGGATTAAACATTAAACACACAAACATTTATTAAAAATATTATATGAATAAATGAACACAAGTTATATTTTCGACATATGAATTTCACCTCAGAGTTGTCATAAACAGTAAGTTCCAGGTGTTGTTACTTACTGGCACGCTGCTTAACTAAGTTTTAAGTAAAAGAGAATAGAGATAGTAAAGGTTTATAGCTTTAAGGATAGGAGGAAAAGAAATTAGTGAATTTAGCACTTGTTCTCCTTGAGTCAAGACCAGACCAGCACCACAGCATGTCACAGACGAGACACCTCCGAAGCTAGACTTCACCTACGTTTTATCTCAGCAAACATTTTGTTCTACCTTTAGGTCTTCAGACAGAGCCGAACCGGCAGGCAGGTAGAATGGTTTGAGAGTTTGAGGCATCACGAAGTCCGCAGAGATGGATAATGTCTGTCCTGACATCAGGGGGTTGAGGAGATCCTTGTCTCACCCCTAACGAGCCTCAGTGGCTCCCGGCTGGTCTCAGTCGCTTCTCAGCAGTAAAATTAGGTTAGTGACATTCAGACTCCATCCAGACAAGTGTCCAGAGACAGACACCACTCCTCAGAGAGACTCAGTCAGAACCATGTTTACTCCGACGAACAGACAAGAACAACTGTCAACGGTGTGAACAGGAAAATTAGTTCTTTGAGAGAAAAAAAAGAGCGAGAAGATAAACATTCTGTTTTTCTCACACTGGCGCGGCCAGCTGTGGGGTTGTTATCTGGAAAGGACCTTGAAAGTCTGGAAAGACAGACTAAACTGTCAGACTTAAAATCACTTCACTGAGGTTATACATCACATCCACCAATTTGTACAAATGGATTAATAGTAAAATTAATAGTACACAATAATTAATCATTAAACCAATTAAGAAAAATGATAAAACCATGATTAATAAACCAGTACTAAGAAAAAAACAGTAAAACACATTTCAACT